CATTGAAGTCTTGAGAGCACTGGAGAGCTGTTTCCTCCTAATAAAGGGACTCTTCAGGAGAGACCGAACTCAGGGCCTTCAGGTCTCAGAATGGATGGGTTAATCATTCCGCCACTAGGTCGTAATTCACTGGTCCACAGTTTCCTACTTCTGTCAATTCGCGATATAGTGCGACTCATCCAAAGTCTTCAGTTGGCATCCGCTTCATTTCTGACTGGTTAATCGGACGGGTCACGACTTCCCTTTGAACTTCGGGATATCCATCTCAAAGTATGTCACTAATGAGCGCTATACAATAATGTAGGCTGGAGTTTGTGGAAATTTTATTTTAAAGATAGTGTTCCAACCAGTAGCTGAATGGTAAACGCGTTCGCCCTGAAACCTGAAGGTACTGAGTTCGATCCCTGGCGGTGTCGTAGATGTGTACTGTTAAGGAATACCATATTATGACGAAATCGCTGTGCAATAAACCCAGGTTTCCAGTAGCTTTCCGACTGATATCAGTCCGAGACTAGTGTTACCTTACCCATTTACCTCAAATAAATAACGTTTACACACTGGGTTTTTTTCAATGCTGGGCATAGCATCTTCTGCCTTTAGTTTTTCGTTGCTAACATTAAAGTTTATCCCTTCACTCAGGACTCTTTCTTCTGTGTGTGTGTAAATATTATTATAAATTGTTTAAAAATAAATTGTAACAATAATTTTGGTTCTTGAACTTTCGATCAAGTTCGGAAATACTTCTCAAAAGCTGATATTTTATATGGTAATTAGTAACTATTTATACATCTTTGTGTTTATTTTTCAGGTACTGATGAAAATCCGTACGAATATTACACTACGGACAGTATCAATGTACGGGATTTCGCAAGTACACGCGACTTTCCCAGTAAAGTCACTAACTCTCATAATGATGGTACCTCTATTTCTGCTAATTCTGTTCCCACTACTGTTTGTAATGATAGTAGTACAAATAGTATGAAAATATTTTCGAAATCTTCACGCACTTATTCAGCATCAAGGTATAATGGGTCTATTTTGAAAAAGTCACCTTTGAATGCACAGCGAAACTATGATGAAGAGCAGAAACCTATTTTAAACCGTTCAGAGGATAATTTCAAATCTCATCCTGGAAAAAGACGCCGTTTCCTTAGTGACTGCTACATTTCTACGGTAGATAACGCTTCATTACAAAAGAAACATAATTTAGTTACCGACTATCAACATGTAGCTGGTAGTTTACTCAAGAAACACAATTCTGACGATATTTTTCAACAAAAACCCAACTTAATGACGTCTTTCACACAGATGAGTGGTGCTCCTACAACAATTAACTATAGTGTGTCTTCATTCAAGTCTTTTGAAGATGACGGATATCTAGAAGATGATGAAAGTGGTACAGATAGTGCCCATTCTCCGTTTACAGCCTCAGATCCTGAACTAAGACATGATATCTATCCGGAATCAAATAATGCAGAAGAAGGAAGAATAAGAAAGAGAACACGTTCTGCTTTTCGTATTCCAGCTTATCAATTATATACCTCTGAGTTAAATAAGAGGTCTGATTCACCAAATTCCGACGTCACTATGAAACTTTCATCTTATGTGAAAACTCAGTATATGAGTGATAATGCAGATACCTTTGATATTGGTTCGACATCTAAGTTCGACCCAAATTCTATCCGTAATCGAAATAAACAAAATCGGAGGAGACATCATCGTTCATCGTTGGACAGAGTAAGTTTTTAGGTAGTGTTCAACAAATTGTTTGTGTTTTGAGGCAACGTTTTCTTCTCCCTGAATTTCTAGGTGTAACGTTTTAGCTATCACAGAAATAAATGCATCTAGGCTGCAATACCTTAGTCAACTGGGACTTAACTGAATAAGGTGCTAATTGATATGTGGCTATAATATGCGACTAGTTTTCACTTCTTTATGAACTGCTACATCACGCCACTCGGTACACTGTCTTTCATCCAAAATAGCCATATTTGTAGTCTGCCTAAAACTTTTGGTGGTTTTAAACCTACTACGCGATGAGCATTCTATTTTCGTCGTCTTGTGATCATATATTCTCAATTCTTCGCTATATTGCAAAAACTGCTAACCATCTGTGATTTTTCTTGTGCTTGAAGTTCGTTTTACTTTATTATCAATGTTCAACCAAAAGTTGAATTTCTGGAAAATCCAATTTATTTCCTTGTCAGTAGCATATTTTGGTATTACATGGTGGAAGTCAATCAGCAGAAAGCTGTTGACCTAGATTTTGTGCTTGTTGGCACTCATGAGCAAGGTCCTTCTGCAACCATGAAGAAATTGGTGTACTCTCAGCAATTCGAATGTGTATCGCTCAGCGTTGGTTGAAGTCCGAGATCTAAGCACTAAGCTATTTAGACGACCACTGACACCGTATAGGACTGGATTATATACACAAGTCTATCATCGGTGGGCAACCTGTGTAGGTGTCTAGTAGTTGGTGCTCAGCACTGGTCGAATTCCGTTCAGAGCTTCCTGCTTATGGACCCCCTCCCCCAATCTAACATCAAATACAGTGCACCGCAATGTCGCGTCACTTCACCTAGTCGCTATATTGTAAACTTTGATCGGTATTCTCCGATCAATGCCTACTGGTGACCGACTCATTTCATATTCTGTGAAGATCTAGTTTTCTGGACTTCCAGTTATTGAATACTTAAAGGCAAATGTTGTACAACTACTTACAAAGTGTTGCTTGTTTTTATTTTACAGCTCCGAAGTGATCGTGACCGAGGTACCATTAGTTCTTTTGTGAATCATACCAAGTGATCAGTATGGCTGCCTGTGTACATATTTGCGAAATTGTGATATATTTCAATGAGCAAAATGCTGTTTTTTTTTACCACTATTTACATTGTAAATTATGTATGTTGTCCATATTGATCACTCTTTTTTGTCATGTTCATCTCATCTTTCCATGTCGATTCATTCATTACCCACTATCCTACATACTTTTTATGTTACTTTGCATTCAGCATAAACTCCTCGCTCCCGTCCTCCCCCCCCCCATCCCACTTCTTCCTTCACAAGAAAAACAAGCAAACAAGTCACCACATATAACATCGTTTTTCTGAAATTTCATGATGGATTTGATTATAAATAGCGTCATTCCTTTTCCGATAACTCTATTCAGCATATAAATCGAGTGGATTCTTTTTTTGCCCAATTCACTTTCTTACTTTCGAAGGAAGAGAAAAAGAGATCATATACAGATAACCTATCACTATGTATTTATCACTAATACAGATTTTATTCTGATCAGGCTTTTTGACTCTGCCTATTTCATCGTTATTGACTGGCAGGGAGAAAAAATTAACTGTGTTAACGAGCCAGTCGGAATTCATATGGTATGTAGCACTGCGCAAGTAATATCCCTGGAATAGTAGCTTTTTGAAAATAGTTACGCAACAGATTTAGTCTAAGAGATGAGGTGTTATTAGTGCGGGCTCTTAGTAATATTCAGGTGATATGCTAGCTAGCTGCAATCTCCACATACTGGTTACAACTCAAACGAATCTTACGGCATGCTTTCTGATCGGTTTTATGACAAAGATTCCTACTAAGTCCTACCGTTCATGAGATGTGGCTAATTGGTTTATACATTCTTTTCTCGCAGAGGCTTCAGTTGGCCGGATAGTATTACTGTTTTTGAGAATATAGATCGGTTTGATATACACCAAACTGACCTATGGTCCTCTACAACTATCAAATACTGACTGTCTTGGAAGGTATACCAGATTGTGATCACCAGATAAATAAATATTACTTCATAGAATACACGGTATTCATTAAGTCTTACCGCCTTTTTCAAGCACTATATTTCATGTAGTTACGATATTCTTGTGAAATATTCGACGAAAAAGAACCAATCCAGCTTTAATGTTTAACTTTTTTTGACTGTCTATTCATAATTTCATCTCCTTCTTCTTACATCTGCATCATTTCCACTTTTAGTGTAACAACTTTAAGTTTCCATTACATAAAAATATATCATAGCTAATTGGCGAAAATAAAACATTTTTTCATGCCACCATAACTGTTTCATGATTTTTGAGAATATGAGATGGACGTTCAACCACACAGATTGTAGAATAGAGATTCAAGCTACAAATAACAAGGACTGCTATCCTTAAAGTTTGCAACTATTTTGCTTCTGTCAACCAATCACTTGTTAATTTCACTGAGCTTTTCGTAAGTAACGAAGACTTGACTTTGAAATAAGAATATCCGCACAATCTATTGGTGAGAAAGTAACATTTAAAAAAACCATCACAGAACTCTGTATACGTATAACCACTACCTAAAAAAGCAACTGCCTACTTCGTCACAAAAACACCTTCAAGTCACTTGATAATCTAGAATCACTTACTCAATATTCAGTTCAAAAAGTTTACTGTGGTTGTAGAAGCACAATGAGTACAAACTAGAGTCAAATAGTAGCATGATGAGAAATCTGCTGCCTTGAGAAAACTTACTGACAATAAAGGTTTAAACGTTTGCTGAGAAAAAAATTCCACTTTTCTCATCATCTCTGTCATGCCCTAGTAGTTTATTCTGGAGAAGTTGGGTTGCTGACCGAATATGACTATTAGTAAGTGAATCGGCTGGTATAAGACCACTAATCATCGAAAAAATCAGCTGAATTCATTCCTTTTGCGAACAAAATAACCGGAGTAAATGTAAGGCAAAGCTTACAATGTGGCATGTTCGCTATGAAATAAAAGTCTGCAAACACAGAACCGAATTGCAAACTTGCCCCATAGCTTTGTCTGGAAAGGTAAGTATTTTAAACTCAAGGAGATTATATACTTCAGATTCAATAGCATACCACCAAATATGTGATTCGAAATCGGTTAGTTCAATCAACAACTCGTATCAGCTTTAGCGAAGCATCCAGTCGGAAAAAGACAATCTAGCCAATAAATTATATGCACAGGATTAGTAAAACAAAGTCCAGTTTATAATCATGTAATCTTTTCACCTTCCACCAAATTTTCTGAGTGGCAAGAATTCATCTTCCTTTTCTTATGTATTTTCTCTATTTTTTCATCCAGAGTAGGTTCCATCTGTCTAGTACATAGCTTCTTAATTGCATTTTTCTTATTAGAAGGATGCAGCGAGTCACGAAATCGAGCTTCTGAAACTATTTTGTCTAAATGATAGTTCAGCGATGAGCTGTTTTGGATGGAACCTGTTGCAACAGATAAGTAACATTTTAAAGGATATTATTATGCACTGGAAAATTAATTTGCATGTAATCCAAGCTAAGAACTATTGATAACTGGTAATAATAATCCCAATGAAAGTCTATTTGAAGACGATGAAATACTTGTTGGTAGAAACTAACACCTTAGATATAAGTTAGTAGCACATCTTCATAGTAATGATGGGTAGTGGCTGGGAGAGGAGTCCAGGGCACGTGTCTCATCTTACTTGGGACTCGTCAGCTAAGTGTATCTGCCTCTCAATGAGCGATGCTGTTCCCACTAAGGCTCGAACCCGGGACCGATCGTTGGAAACATCAAAGCGCTATCCACTAGGCTATCGAGTCACCATACCCGCTTCTTGTGCGATGGGTATAGCTTTTACGTTGTTGGTTGTATTATCTCGTTGTTGATTGGACCGAATTGATCGGTCTCCACTGGCATATAGGTTTCTGCGCAGATGCCCAAATATTGCCTGTCCTTTCAATTTTGTACTAATGATGAAGAGTGGCTAACAGTGGAATCGAGGACACACGTTTCGTCTTATTTGGGACTCGTCATCGTTGATGAACATGTAGCCGAATCACAAGCACACTTTAAAGCCAGTTTTGTATTACTCTTCAAACACAGATGTATCTCATAGTGAAAATATAAAGTTTTGTCGGTGCTGCACACTGCAGAAGATTTATAGGTATCCACTAATATCAGGATGATATAACTATGACCGTAGACAACAAATTGTGTCCGAAACGTAATCCAGTATTCAATCCTGTTCCACTGTGTGATATATCACCCAGGTATACCTAATAAATTAACCGAAATGGAATTTATAACATCCAGTTGAAAACCGCATCATTCGATAAAAGGGATTCAACGAAAAGAACTAATTTATTTTCTGTTAATGGATACTATCTGCCAGCAACTTGGATAATCACATTTAAAGAAGAAATGTCAAAAGAAATCATTCAAATAGTACATGTGCAACATAACACGATCTTTTTGCTCCTGCTAATTTCATCAGGAACTGTATAATAGGTCATTACTCTTTGTTCCAACTATCGTAGTGAATAATTAGTTCATTCAGTATCGACAGCCTATTTAAGCTGCACAGAACATTACAACGTTTAGCCGAAACCAATATATTACTTGCTTGAACTACTTGCCCGACCGATAGCTGCTACCTTGACGTGGTGGTCGGGCTTGCATATCACAATGACCCAACGAGCTATGCTGGTGGAACGCTTGTTCCCTCGAGGTCCTACCATACCAGAAAGGTCTGTTGGGTAGTGGTTAGACGAAAAGCAGTTACCGTCATAGTGTAAATTGCTATACTATGATGGGGGTCTGAGGGCGAAGTCGTACTGCTGCTAGCTGGATGGGGTGTGACAGCAGTAAGGTGTTTCCCTTGGATGACCAGCAGTGCCAAGCTGATGCTGCCTTCTCAGTGGAAGGGGGGGTTAGAAAAGGTCGGCCCCAAAAATAACACACTCCACCACGCCCCACGGTCTGCCGGGCCGGCGGTGTTGGTTCACTTGTCGTTTCCTTTCGCTCATCCGGCCCCAAAAATACAAAAATTCAAAATAATCATACTCAAAAGGCTGGGTGTGACAGGCCTCAAGCAGATGTCCGATGGGCTCTGCGGTCACACAAATCTCTTTCAGGTACCTTAAGAAGAAATAGCCTTCCACGGTGTGGGCAGCCGGGAAGTGTCAACCGCCCTCACAACTCTGTCAGCACCCAAGTTTCTTCTGACTGCTATCCTCCTCCTCCATCATTACCTTCTAATCTTCCTTCACGTCTCTTAATTAATGATGCTGCATCATCTTCAATTTCTCCTACCTCTGCAGCCTTCGACAACGATCTGAGTCCACAGAACAGTGTCCCTGGTCTCCTTAAACCACGCTCCAAATTACATATTGGAGCCTTCAATGTCCGCACCCTCCGTCAAATTGGCCAACAGGCTTCGTTGGCAAAGACTCTAGCAACTCGAGGCATGGATGTGTGCTGTGTTTGTGAGACACGCATACAGGACCCAAGTGTGGTTATTCACCTGACCTCTCCTGACCAATCTGGTGAATCTGCAAAATTCACCCTTCGAGTTTCTGGAGATTCGATAGCTAGCTCTCGTGGTCTTGCAGGTGTAGGTATAGCATTAAGCACCAGGGCAGAAAACTCACTACTAGACTGGATCCCAGTTGATAGTCGCCTCTGCGCTATGAGGCTGAACGGCACAGTGAGAACTAAAAGGAATAGTGAGACTCGCCGTTGTCTCTTTGTAATCTCTGCTTACGCACCCACTGACTGTAGTTCGGATGAAGTGAAGGACGAGTTCTACCATAAACTGTCTAACCTCCTCTCGAAAGCCAAACGTTCGGACGTAGTGGTTGTTGCAGGTGACCTCAACGCACAGGTGGGTAGACTGAGTGAGGCAGAAAGGCACTTAGGTGGCACTTTCGGAATCCCAGCTGAACGTACAGATAACGGTGATCGCCTATTACAACTATGCTCAGATAACCGCCTATTTTTAGCCAGCACAAATTTCAGACATAAAGAAAGGCACTGTCTGACCTGGCGTCCACCGAGCTCGACTCAGCGATGGACACAGATAGACCACATTGCTATTAGTCATCGCTGGAGAGGATCGGTGGAAGACTGCCGCTCCTTCTGGAGTACGTGTTTGGACAGCGATCATGCGTTGGTCCGAGCACGTATATGCCTGCGTCTCAATGGACGTAGAAAAAATTTGGCAACAAAACCACTACGAGTTCTGCTGGACAACGAAAACACCAAAGCCGTGTTCAGTGAGAAGTTGGCTAGGCAGTTATCGGAACAAAAGACTGTCACTCATCCAGAAGAAGCTTGGTGCCATCTTCAGTCTACTGTAAAAGCAGCACTGGAGACTGTAGCCGACTCCAAGATAATGGCTAAAAAGAGCCAGTGGATATCAGCAGCTTCTTCCAAACTAATGGATGCACGTGAATGCATCCCTGCAGGCTCTGAGTACAATGAAGAGCGAGCGCAACTTAAAAATAAACTGACGAAAAGTCTGCGCAACGATCGTGAACAGTGGTGGGCAGCAAAGGCTAAAGAGATGGAAAAGGCAGCGGCGATCGGTAACAGTAGACAGTTATTTAGACTTATTAAGGAGACTGGGGGGAAATGGTCAACAACAGTTAGTGAGGTTATAGCGGAGAAGGACGGATCGGCGATTCACTCGCAGGGAAGGCGACTGGGACGATGGGCAGAACACTTTGAGGAACAGTTTAACTGGCCTCCAGCCACCATTGCGCTGCCCGCTATCCAGTCGGACCCTGAATGGGACATAGAGACAGGTCCCCCAACACTAGAAGAAGTTGAGAAAGCGGTAGGTAGCCTGAAACGGGGAAGGGCAGCAGGACCAGACGGACTACCTGCTGAGGTATACAAGAATGGTGGTAGAGTTCTCTTAGTCAGGCTAACGGAAGTGTTAGCCAGTATATGGGAATCAAATACGATCCCCTCCGACTGGTCTAAGTCACTCATCATCCCAGTCTTCAAGAAAGGCGAGAAGTCCTCTTGTGATAACCACAGAGGAATCAGCCTGACAAACATAGTGTCTAAGATCCTAAGTTCTATAATTCTCCGACGCCTGAGTGGAGCTCGGGAACAGCAAGCCCGAGAAAACCAGGCAGGCTTTAGACCTGGCCGTGGATGTATCGACCAAATATTCACACTGCGCCAGGTCCTGGAACATAGGCATGCTTACAGACGCCCGACAATAGCTGTATTTCTCGACCTGAAGGCGGCATTTGACTCCGTTGATCGAGAAGTCTTATGGCAGTGTCTGTCACTGAAAGGCGTGCCTAGTAAGTACATCACCTTATTGAAAGCTCTCTACTCGAACACTTGTGGGCATGTTAGAGCCTATGGTGAGTTGTCCAGGGAGCTATACTCATCAAGTGGTGTCCGTCAAGGATGCCCACTATCCCCATTCTTATTTAATTTTATCATAGATATTCTTATGGAGGTTTCCCTCTCGTCACCTAATTACAAAGACGTTGACCGGATCACAGGTGAATTTTCCTTAGATCTAGAATATGCAGATGACATAGTCCTGTTAGGTGAAGACGCTGACAAGATGCAGAGTCTTCTGAACACTTTGAGTGGGAATTTGAGAATGTTTGGGATGCGATTTTCACCACCCAAATGCAAATTTTTGCTCCAGGACTGGTCTTCAGCGGTACCGCGGTTAACAATAGAGAGTGAAGTGGTTGAGTGTGTTGACCACTTCACTTACCTGGGAAGTAGGATCAACCCGGTGGGTTAGTTGCCGATGAGATTTCTGCACGGATACAAAAGGCTCGATTGGCTTTTGCCAATTTGCGCCACCTATGGCGCCGCCGTGATATTCGTTTGTCTATTAAGGGTCGCGTGTACTGCACAGCAGTCCGCTCTGTTCTACTGTATGGCTGTGAAACATGGCCATTGAAAGTGGAAGACATGAGAAGGTTACAGGTATTTGACCACCGTTGCCTTCGTAGTATAGGACGTATTCCGTGGTGTCACCATGTGAGTAATGCAGAAGTTAGGTGTAGAGTTTTAGGGAGAAGAGGTAAGTCAGTCGACGAGGTTGTGAACCTTCATCGACTGAGATGGTTGGGACACGTACTACGTATGCCTAGTCACCGATTGCCTCGTCACACAATGTTGGCTGAGGTGGGTTCAGGCTGGAAAAAGGCCCGAGGTGGCCAGACTAAAACATGGCACCAATGTATGAAGTCTCTGACTGTTGGTTTAAGCCATGTAGGACGATGCAGACTAGGTGGTTGGGGTCCACGGGACAAGAGGAACCAGTGGTTGGAGACCCTAGGTGATATGGCTCAGAACCGAAGTCAGTGGCGCAGATGTATACACACATTATCCTCATCTTAACAACGCTATACCGAATCTCACTATTTTGTCACTCCTCTTTCCTTTCTTCTCATACTTTATATTTCTTTTGACTGCATTCACTTATCTTCATCCTTCACCTCACTACCTTTTTACTTGATGTGCTGATATGAGGTGTGGCAACTCGGACCGTTACGCAGTAATGCCTGGTCCTATGTTGATAATGATGATGATGATGAACTACTTGTCCCACAGATCAATTTTCTTAGTGAAAAAGTCTATGATAATGCTCTCTGAAGTAGCCATTATAACTAAGCTAAAAGAAATTCTTCGTTGTCAAAAACGTAGGGGATTAAGAGTATTCAGGAACTACAAGGCTAAGGATGATAAGCTTTTTAACAGTCGATCACTATATTAACATTAACAAAACTCAATTAGCATAGTACAATTTATTTCCAAAGTGAAACGAGAATAATAGTTAATAACTATAAAATCTATTTGTGAATAGAGACATACCTTCAACATAGTTTAATATTCTCTTGACAATAGCTGATCTAAGAATAAATTGAATGGAAATAGTTTAAATGGCAGGAGAATAATTTTTTTTACCTGATTCCATATTCAGACCACAATTTTTGATAGTGTTTAACTAAATCCAGTTGAGCAGCTTGGAATTCGAGTAATGAGAGCAAGATATTTAACCTACCTTCACTTGTTTCCCAGCTCAATAAAGACTCTGGATAATCACCGGTAATGAATAATAGTGGGAAATCTTTGATAGACGATATGAAATCTTTATAACAACTTACCAGCTGCAAGTTGGTACTGTGGTTTGGCTGGAGTTTTATTCAAATCCAATAAGTCATCAACAACCTTTAATATCAGAATGGAATTAGTTACTGTAATTTTTGGCTTGTCAGAAATAATTATTACATATAAGTTTCCACTAATTAGCATACAATCAACGATTAATCGTATGTAATAGTAAAACTATTTCATGCAACATCAAGAATAACCGTACACGAATATATTTTGAAGCTGAACGTGAAACAGCAAACTTAACTTCAAAACTGCTCAAGTACTTACTATAAACAGTAACAACCTATGCAACTAAGCAATCCCGTGCAAGATTGTACACTAAGCTATGAGTTACACCTGTTGTACAGAGTTAATGTAATAACCTGGTTGTCTAAACCCCAATAGGTAGAATGGTGTACAGCTCTACTAACCGATAAGGTGAGTTACTCTATTAGTGACATCTGGGTCCAAATGATGGACGGTGGCTAGCAGTAGAATCCAGGACGCGTGTCCCATCCTAATTTAGGACTCGTTAGTTGGATGTACCTGTCTTCCAGTGAGCGGTGTTATTCCCACTAAGACTCGAACACGGGGCCGAAGTATCTTGTTTGCCGTAGTTAATAATAGTAGTTTTCCAACAAGTATAACGATGAGAGTAACTGCCAGTCATCCAGAAGTTTCTTGGTAATTCACAGTAACGACTGTATTTGGATTTCACTCGATACATAGACAAGTATCATACAAATGGTTACGTTTTAACGAAATTAAGAGGAAATATGTGACTGGTAAGGAAGGGAAGTGTAAACAAGTAGAGAAGCCTTCATCCGTTTTGTTTGCTTGCCTTTTCTTTGTACGTGGAAGATGAGATGGAATTAAAATTTAACACGAACAAACATTGATTCTGAACCATATATGACATCTTGCACAACATATGACTACTATTAACAGAAAAGTGATACACAAACGGATGTTAATCATATACAAATATCCTGCATGCAGAAACCCGCTACCACGAATTTATGACTTTTGACTCCAGCTAAGTGGGAAAGCTGTTAAAACTGCTTAGTTTAAATCTCTTGATTGGAAAAGCAATCTTCATTAACCTCAAAAATAGATCAATGGACATGAGTTAACGCCAGATGAGACCAATTATACCAATAGGGTTTAAGAGCGACTACCATCGGTTTCATCATCACGCAACAACGACGAAAAAGGGGGCTTTTAGCTACTGGTACTAGAAAAAATCTAGTGACTACTCAATAAAGTGATATTTTAGTTAAAGACGCATAAGCATCGACCATGTGCTATACGAAGATGAACAAAAAGTTTCGCTATAAGCCTGATAAGTATATTTTTAAATATCTATAGGAGAATAAGTAATCTTTTCGTGAATAAGTAATGCTAGTTAGTGTTTATGCAATTTGAGGCAATAATGTGTTTACAGAACTATCAAGTATATCTTCGACAGCTTGTTTTTACCAAACATGTGCGCGGTTTATCAGTTTTAAACTTCTAGTGGACTGGATCATGTAACAAACAATGAGGAGTGAGAAGAGGGGGATACGCTGGACAGCGGAATAAAAACCTAGAAGACTTGGATTTCGCCGATGACTTGTGTCTGATGTCACACAAACTGGAAGATCTACAGGCGAAAACTAACAAGTTGACAGAAGAGGCAGCGAAGACACGACTTCAAGTGAACGTAGAGAAGACAGAGGTGATGAAGATAATCAACCAACGACAGCATCAACAACAAGCACCAATCACCATCAGCAGGAGAAACCTTAAGGAAGTAGCCTCCTTCACCTACCCAGTCAAGGCAGCACTGTTCCAACTACAGGCGGCGGTGGCACAAATGAGGACGTCAAAGCCAGCCAGGATCGGAAAGACAGCAAGACAGGCGTTCATTAGCCTGAAACCAGTGTGGAGATCTTCTGTACTCAGCATGTGGAACAAAGTTCGGCTTCTCAACACCAACGTCAAGTCAGTGCTCCTGTATGGTTCAGAAACTTGGCGCGTCACGAGCACTTCCAGCAAACTACAGACATTCATCAACGACTGCCTACGCTGGCTCGTTACTGAAGCTCAGATGGCCACAAAGAATAAGCAACAAGAAACTCTGGCTGGCTGGCAACGAACCAACGAAGCAAGAACCTATCGCTCAACAAATATGCACTGGAAGGAAGTGGAGATGGATTGGGCATACACTGAGAAGACCATTCGGGACATCACGCGTCAGGCCCTCGAGTGGAATCCAAAGGGGAAACGACAAGTTGGGCGTCCAAGGCAAGAGTGACATGGAGGAGATGGTGTGAGGAAGAAATGAGAGCTTGTAGGCTGTCGTGGAGCCAGGTTGAAAAGATTTCAGAGAACAGAGTGCACTAGAGACGTGCTACGGAAGCCCTACGTTCCATTAGGAACCCAAGGGACAAATATAATAATAATAATAATACTTTTCTAGCAAGATGAATGTAAAGAGCATATGATGCATTTTTGGCACGATCACTGATATTTGTTTGACCTACTTGTCTACCTTCTAGGCTATCTACCACCGAATCACAGGTTCTGACTCTGCGCTACCTACTTCGACCAAATACAAGGAAAAGATTTTATATGTTAGATGTCAATCATATGTTGGTATATAGAACTGTATTGGATTACTGAGTTGCACTGATTATTCATAATAATACAGTGAGATAAAGACACTGAGTAATATTGAAGCAATCGCATGTATAAACATATTCTAGCAGGAGGTCAGTCGATTCACATTAAGTACGACTGAAGCACGATAAGTACGGATGAAGCGATCTGCCACTGGAGTGAACTGCATAGGAAGATTCAAATAAATTCATGGGTTAACTAAGGTTTCCAAGATTAATTAATCGTCACCAAAGCCATGAACGTCTTATTACTCCATAAATACTTGTCCACTTTTACTTTATGTTTAATTTGATATCCTTCTACAGTAGTTGGTGTTCTGTCACATGGTGTTGAAAGAGATGACAACGCAAACCACTGCGTTTCTCTTATCGGTTTTATGAGACCTTTTATTCACCACCGGTAAACGAAAAAACAACCTTAGAAAAAGCATTTGAAGTAAATGCAGTTTAAAAAGCTTTAGAAATAAGCATGAAGGTGGCCGCATTACTATGGATACCTCTTACTGAAGAAATTATTAAGCAAACAAAAATTCACAGTAGCCTTATACGTATCAGGCTGATATCTGTGAAGACAGTGGGGTAAAATATTACTCGGTTTATGGATATAAGAGTTGAGTTTCGGTAGTGTGATTCCATTTCCATTCTTCTAGTAGATTTACTGGATGATATTTTGGGCATAATTAAATCCACATACTGATATATATATATATATATATATATATATATATATATATATATATATATATATATATATAACTTTGTAAATAATATTGTTAAACTACGATATACCTAAATAACAGATCAGATTAAATTCAGACTCACGAACAGACGGTGAGAAATCCAATCAATAAACCACCTACACAATGATCACATGGATAAATTGTAGTATTATGAAAATCAGAGTAAACAAGTTTTATGAAAAGAATGAGAAGGCGAGAGCCAACTTACTGATGGACTTTCATAACCCCTTCCCACCATAAACAAGATAGATACAATATAACGTATTTGGTGATAAAGAAATCCTGAGGCTGATATACTGACACAACATAATCCGGAATGGCTAACATGTAAAATAAAATAAAACAGTCAATAAGTAATCAACATAAAAAATGTCCAGTATTTTGAGAAAATATACTTTCATATGTATTAATGAAAAATGATACCCGATGACTAATTAAAATATATCTTGATAAATACTTAGTATAAATTTTATTTTCGATTCCAAACCACAGTAGCGGCAAGGAACAATTGCCATGTACAGAGAGGAAAAATATTTTTTTTAATATATAGATACCCGACCATAAAAGTAAATGACAATTGAATGCAATTTGGTGACTATGTACATATTCATCTAAGTTGTGAAAGATAAGCTAGTCAGAATCTAAGTAAGTGGAGTCCGTTTTGAAGCTTTAGTTTCATGGGAAGGAGTCAATTATGACTGGAACAATACACATCAAATTCGACCCAGCTTATTAACAAACGCATTTCTAAAATAGATTCTGAAATGAACATTTATAAACATTCAGTCATATACGACACTATGGTTATCGCTGTGTGGAAAATAAGAACGTAAGTTAACTACCTCAACTTTTAAACTAAATAAATGACAAAATACCTAGTCATTTTAAAACTAGAATTACGAACGACTAGCTAAAGTGATATAATACAGGGGAAAATAGATATCAACAAGACGACCAAGTACAAAATATGGACAGCTCAGTCCTACCACGCTACAAACACCGGTAGTAGAAATAAGAGCAGATGCGGTAATATAAACACTACGCTGTGATAAGGGCTAGAGGATGAAGTCCTACCACTAGCTAGACAAGGATGTGAAGCAGTAAGGTGTTTCCCATGAGTAACCTGCACTCTAGTTGTGTTACTCACTATCCTCTACAATGAATGGTTAAGAAAAACGATGTCCTGTTTTACTCTACGACTGCGCGTTACTGGTATTAAGATTTTCTGAGTATACATGTAACTATACACATGAGAAAACCCTTAGAAAGATTACATTTTGTTTACCTAAAGCAGACATTATTTGGACCACACAGTTGCATAAAAATGATTTCCACTTTACCTGGTCAGTAGATTTTATAGTTGCAGATATACTTTGTCGATAGATGCCAACATGCACGAAATGTCGGTCCAAAACTTCCTGTTGATTGAATCCTGGTATCCAACATCACAATCCACCTTAAAAATACACTTATTTTCGCGACCTGGGTAATTAGGAAGTACCAACTTCTAGCACGCTTGTAGCAACACACAAAAGCCATCGTACCACATAACACTCTCCTCAACTTTTCCTTTTTTCGACGTCTTCACTGCTTCTCGTAATTTACATAATGCTCCCAACATTCCCCTTAATTTGCCACGCTGCAATCACCGTTAACAGTTTAGGCCAGAAAAACACTATTTGAAACTACACTACCCAACTCACATTATAACTTCCAATGTCCGAAACCTATGCCAAAACAGGATAAGTTACTATTGGAGGATTGCTACTTCTTAAAATAGTTGATAAAAATTTAATTATGCGTCAGTCTCAGTGTTTCTGCATCTCTATGGATGCGGGAAACGAGTAGCCTCTAAGGTTGACATTAAGACTGATATATCATACCTGCATTTAAGCAGATATTTGAATATTTATGTAAATATCATAGTGATTCTCATAATGATGGTTTCTGACAATGTATCCAAGTTGCTGTAGAAACAGTGAAGACCATTACCAACCGAAAACCGAAAAATTTTGGTCAGTAGATAAATGCAGCCATATACGATTTGACTGATGTAGAAAGACCAGTTCAGGCTGGATATGATCAAGATAAAGAGCGGAATCAGCTTAAAAGTAAACTGAACACAAGGCTTGGCCATAGTTAGAGGTAAGGGGAAAAACCAAAGGAGGTGGATAAGGAATCGGCACAAGTGAATGCTCAAAATTATTTAAGCATATCAAAGAGGAAATAACCCAGAATTACTCACTTATCGTTTTCGGAAGTCATGATATTTTAATAATTTCTCTTTCTACTGCGTATACCAAGATTCAGGTAGTCAGGTAATATCACTAGCCCTACATAGTTTTAGTTCAGGGTCTAGTGCGAAAATCCACATATAGTTGCTGAATTGCATTCTCCTTTCACATCGAGTTTTACTTATTTTAATATCATTTGATTACTGTCCGTTTCCTCTTTAAGTGCTGCTAAGGGGTGCAGCAATTTGAAGCGGTGGGTTTCTGTGTATGATTCTACTTTCATTCGTCTACCTTAATGTTAACAGAAAGACAATAAAAGTTATACTTACTTTACAAGTAATTTTAGGTTTGATAAAAAGTTCTCACTGTACCTATGAAGCGTTATGGTATCTATCTATATCAAAGCAGACAAAGTTTTGTGAGAGAATAACCAATTTGAAGATAATGGTTAGTGTAAATACTCAAGCTTTAGAAGACATCAAGGAGTGCATACATTTGAGGTATTGTGACAGATTTTCAACCATGTCACCAAGAGTTCTCAGCCACTGAGTCTTATCGTCTCGGGGACCGGAGCCAGAGACCTTACATCTCCCCACACGGTTCAGAGCAACCTTCAGGGACTTCATGCACTGATGCAACATCTTCTGGCTACCCTGAACCCACTTCCAACCTAATCCAGTTTTCTCTAGCATGGTACGTCAAGGTAGGCAGTGGCTCAGCAAGCACAGTACATATCCAAGCCACCTTAATCGGCTGTTTCAAAACCTGACCGATCGACTAGCCTATCTTCCCTATTATCCTTCGCCTAACCTGAGCATAGCTCATACGGTGATTCCACCAGACATGAGCGATGATACGAAGACGTTTATGATCAAAACCATGTAACCGCTTCATGTCATCTACTTTTAGCGCCCGTGCTTCACAGTCTTATAGCAGGACAGAACGGACTAGAGCGCAGTATATTCGTTCTTTGCCAGATAGTCAGATATTTCAACAATCGGCACCACAGATGACGCGAGTGAGCAAATCCCAAGCCACGGCTTATGTATCCGAGCTGAGATGGCGTATCGCTGCCGGACACCACTAGTTCTTATCAGCTCACATGACAACTCTCCATAAGCCTTTATACGGCTGCGTGAGTTCGAGTGCAGAGCTTTGGTAAGTATTCTACACTTGCTCGGGACTCTGCTTACAGTCAGACACTGCCACAAGACGTCACAGTTGACAGGGTCGAATGCCACATCCAGGTGAAGAAATATGGAAGTGTCGGTGGCCGGTAAGTATGTCTGCTCTCCAGAACCTGGCGAAGGGTGAAGACTTGATCGTTGCACCTAATCTAGGACTGAAGTCCGCTCGACCTTTGTGAGCCTGCTGTTTTCGAGCGCCAGTTAGGCGTCCGATAACTATAAACAGGATTTTGAAAACGATGATAATCAAACTAATTCCCTTATGATTGTCACAAGAAGATTTCTCGGCCTTCTGGGCTGATCAGTGTAGTAAACTACCAAGTACCTCCGTCATTTTAATATGCGATTTCCCATCTCTATTCTTGAAAACTTCGGGTGGCAAACTGCCAAGTCCTGCTGCTTTGTATCGTTCCAGGTTCAACATAGCGTCCTCAACTTCAAGGAGAGTTCGTGAGTCGACATATGTCCTATTCAGGCTCCGACAAGATGTCGGGAAACTGAAGCGTTGCTGTCAGTGAGATGAGCTGTGCTTTAAAGTTTCCTGTCCAACGTTCTAGACGCCTGATCTGGGAGTTTATCACCGTCCCACGCGTCTCGATGATGGTTTCACTAACTATCGTTTTCATCTATCCGGTATCCTTAATAAGCCTAAATATGTACCAAATGCTACCCAGAGCTGATGCTTTCTCCATCGTTCTCTCCATCCATCACTACTCACGATCATTCCGAAGACTCATGATCAAATTACGTTGAAGTTGTTTCCACTGTTCATCGTGGTCAGAGCCAGCTGGTATTAGTCATATTGCATCAGTCAGTTCACATGACGTCGTGAAAATTCATTGACGTTTGCGAGCCTTCGGATGTATGTTACCAACGCTGTTTCATAGCGTGACAGATTTCCTAAGGATGAACATTTCTGTCACTAATGGTGGCTGCTTTAAAGAATTGAAAATAAGCTATCAGAAAAGTGTGAAACATCTCAAGTAAATGATTATTACAATATTATGTGGATGAATATCAAGCTCTTTAAATTAAGACTGGTCATGTGTAGGGCTTGATCAATGGTATGGTTAACTTTTAAACTATTTCATTTTGGATATGACGGATGCCGCATGTTTTCTAGTTATAAGCCGTGAATTCTGCCCAATATGTTACCTAGAAAATGTTGTATTAATGTGCTAGGTCCAGAACAAAGGTAACGATACGCAAACAGCATATCATAGATGACATATGAAAATAACTCTTGGACAGATAAGAAAAGAAGTTACGGCTTTCTGAAGATGTGAACTACAAAAGATATGCGAAGTTGCAGAAGTGTGATATGTTACGATGCAAGGTTTTGGGATTCATTTTCTTAATGGTTTCTAACTATGAGAGAAACGAAACAAAAAGCTAATGAGCGACCTTCAGTTTTTGATCTGGAGAATTTTTTACTGGTATGGGTTATTGCTTACTGAACGCAATATCTCAGAAAAAAACATCGCAGTGTATGAGTTAGGAATTTAGACACATTGGATGTGCGAAAGCACTTGAGTGAGTGAGCAAACATCAATAAACATACTTAGGTATGGCAATCTGTGATCGGTAGTCATCACCACTAGATGGTAGTCACAAAAACTCATCAGTTTAGACTATCTTACACAAAATTAAGGTCCATGAAGCCAAGAAAACTTTAATAACCATGTTAGAAACTCCACAACTCTACAGATCTGGTACAGTGACATGTAAGTCGGTAAACCTCTCCATTTCCAAGCAACAACTATCACAAATGGCATGCAACAATAACATGCAAGTGACGGTGTTGCCAATTGGCATGGACATTCGACTGTCCAGCAGCTGGTTTCAGCTTCGTTCCACACCACTTGATTTAATCTGGGTAACCAAGTAGTCATTAGTTTCTACACAGTGTGGTTTACATACCAGTTTCAGGTGGTTATTCCCAATAACGATTAGCAATGTACCCTTCAGATACAACTCAGTGTACTATCCCACTGGTTACATTATATAAGGGCTTGAGACACTGGAAATAGGTATCTGAAAACAAGTACCAAAACCACTAAGTATTGATAAGAAAAATAATAGAGGTTAACATCCAATAATCGGCTCCAATGTTTGATCAAATACATTTTGTCAGCAAAGCGGGTAATAGCAAGGTAAAGGAATATAGAAAAACCTTAAGCAGTGATTCGTGTAAATTAGAGTAGTACCGGAAATAAATAAGTGACTAACTAGAAAGGCCAGTAATGCAATAAAACCAAGACACTACCAGAACAAAACTTCCGTAGTTACAACTTACTTGTTAGAATATTCCTCGGAACTCTCTACAAAATTTATCGTTACTTCGAATATCTCACGCATAAAAGTTACGGTGTCTTTATCGATTCGTGAAGCGCAAAAGTTCCGGAAATCATGAACTCCAACCAACCGACTGCCTGCATCAACCATTGACTAGGTGGAGGTACTGCGCAGTATATTACTACATACCTTGATATTTAGACCGCTTTCAGGAAAAAAATATTCGTAGGACCTTCTAGTACAACTAAATCTATGAGAATAGTGATTACATGGTTAAGTTTGTACCTTGCGTTAAACTCATACGAAACAGGGGACCATGCTAAAATTCTTATGTCATGTGGTAAATTTTTGTTAAGCATTGATACAAAATCCATTTCTTTATCAGGAACATCTGTGGAATTCTGTGCATCAGAAAATAACCTAACCATGACGTTCAGATATACAGCGACCAGAATCATCGACAACCCCGACACCCGAGGCTAGCAGTGATCGTGAGATGAGTGAGACTACCTGCGTGGTCGCTGGAATTATTGAAATCAATATCAACTTACCTGACCTAATCCACTAACTCCTCTATCAGTTCTTCCACATACCGAAAAGTTACAGTTATTCCTGTGAAAATACGAGAATATAACCGACAAACCTATCCTCTACTAGTCTGCACCTTTCTAAAGCCTCGAAAATGCGATCCATAACTGTTAGGCTGTAACAACCTTGAGGAACTAAGCCACCATAACCCCATCCCAAATAGGAAAACTTCAGTGCGATATGTCGCTTTTTGTACCTGCCAAAATATTTAAATCAAAAAGTAAACCTGTCGAAGTTAAAGAGATGGTCAGCTTTTGGTTTTTCAACACCTGGTTCCCGGAGTTTTGAGATGATATTTTCTAATTGCTGGTTTTGTTTCATCAAGGAAATAGCTTTTTCTTTTAGACTCTTAAATTATAAGACATTGAATGTGAGTGTTACCTCGAAATCAAGATTGCCAAGAGATTCTAGCTTCGACTGTACATCTCTGAAACTAGACGCCATCCTACTCACATTTCGCATACCCAAATGTGCAAGACATAGTTAGCCTTGAAAATGGAGCAGACAAACAAATACCTGCAAACTTTCACACACTAAATATCGGCTGTCACTTCACTCACCTTCATGGCTAGAAACAGCGTATCACAAGTTTTTGATCGTTAATCTACATACAAATAAGTAAAGGGAGAAACAGATTACGGTGGTATAGAAAAACACAGTTTCAACATCCAGCATATAGTACCATCACAGGAAAGTTGTCCTTTTCCAACTCTTGAAGATCCACCCTATTTGTTCAGCTTCACTTTCTGAGTGCCTGTGAAACTTTTTCCGGTTTACTTGCTCGAAACTTTGGAGGTAGTGATTGGACATTTGGTAGTTTCTTCACGCGAAATTATAGTTTGGTTTGTTTTGTAGAGCAACAGAAATGCATAAGAGACCAATAAATCTTTTCCGATTCCTGTTTTCGTAAGAAGCTGTTAGTGTGTGCTAAGAGCTATCAAAAGTGTGGTGTGAGAAAAGGGGCAAGTAGAGAATGAGAGAAGAGGGATGAGTGGTATTTATAGAAAGCAGGTACTACTAGTAATGGTATGGCAGTGGTATCGTCCATATTGCAGACTGCAGGAGTAGGTAACACAGTCATGGATGAATATACTTCCACTTATTAATGGATTAAGTTGGAAGACAATACTTCCACTTGTCCAGCTTGTAAATTTTCCGCACAATTATTCTGTTGTTCTGTTCCATTATATGAACATGAAGCACCTCTATCTTATAGTGACAACGGGTAAGGATTCAGATTACCTTCCATGGAGATACATGTGATATACATATAAACTTATTCATGCCTGTAAAAACTGTGTGTGCCTATATAGTCAGGAATAAATATTATTATTATAAAGCCGCTTGTAGTCACTTAATTATCTACCGATTCGGCTCTGGCTACTTCTTTTAGCAGCAAACTGTTGAGCATACGGAATCTGTGGGAGAGGAATTTAGATCTGACCGTATGCATTTCCCTCTGGTGGGGTGTGCAGAGGCGTTCCAATGAGACTGTCAGTCCTGAAACGATAGTGTTGGCACGCTGAGATGCTCCATTTGGTGAGCGGTCACGTAAACTGCTATTCGGTGGTCTCCTCTCCTTCACTGGCTGAAGGGGAACACATTCTGTCACTAGATATGTTGCGTGTTTATGTAATAAAACAGCATGAGTATGCGAAATTTTTCAAGTTGGACACCACATCACATTTCTTAGGGTTGAGGCTCCAGCTAATAGCAGCTGACCGAGACTCTAGCTGCAGTATATCGTTTCGGAGTATTCCAGGGCCCTCTCCCCTACTTATTACCCTACATATTTAGATGTCATCAACCAGCATGGGGATGGATGCGAAGATTCAAGCCGGGAGGTCGTTGATGAACAGTAAAACGAGGAGTTACCTAATGATCGCCCCCTGGAAAACTCTTGCCTTTTCACTCCACCAGGCTGACCAAAATCTGTTCACTTTCATACGAGGATGTCCGCCCTCTGGACATGCTGTAAACCATGCTATGGGTGGTTTAGCGGTACCCACTTTTGCCAGTTTAGTTAGCATGGTGTTGTGTGAAAACCTTGTCCAGGTCCAGAGAGATAACGTGTGATGGTTGCTCGGTGTCCCATCTGGTGGCTCGGTCATCCCAAGCGGTCATCAAGTTTGTGGCTCATGACCATCTGGTTCTGAAACCATATAGGTATAAACTATGGTGTTTCTGCTTAGGTAGTCCCAAATAACATCGGCAACCAGACTTTCCAGCAACTCGGCCCGTAATTGCACAGGTTTCGCCGGTCTCCTGGTGAAAGGATAGCACGTTTTCCATTCTTTGGGGGCCGGTTTACTCCCAGTGGTTGCGCTAAAAAACCGCATGGTGATATGTTTAGAACTTCGGCACAATTCCTTAGGACCACCGGTCCTGCGTTGTCATAGCCCAGAGATTTCCCTATTCTAAGAATTAAAGTTTCGAAAACACTTGATCTAAAGAAATCCTTACGTTCATTAGCTTTGTGTTGCAGTCTTAGGATTTCGTTATATCACTATATGTCGGTGGTGGAGACATAAGTATGTTAAGGTGCTCATTAAATCAGCTGCTTAGTAGTTTCGCTATCTCCCTACCATTCAAGAATTCTTCAGTCAATCTTATGATCAGGCCGAAACCTCTATTCGTCGGTTTTCGTTGTAATGTGAACCGATATAGGTTTTTAGGATCATAACTTAGCGGGTTGGCCAGGCCACTCAGGTATTCGTACCTGTCATTGTAGGCATCATTGTTCCATTGAAAAGTTTCAGAAAGGCGTCGTAGGCCACTGAGCCATTTATACCCCATGATGCTTCTAGAAAGTTACTCATGCTTTTGAAAGGATACTACCGAGACCACAGCTTCAAATGGACCTCAGTAAATTTTTAATGTTCTCGGCCTTATCTCGCGTAATCAAGATATTCGTATGGAGAATGAAAACAGCAGTACTCTAGCAAGCCTATCTACAGTACATCCTCTAGCAACACTCGCCAAGAAGCGATGGAATGCATAAGACGTAACCTTTCTCCCCCCCCTACTCAGGACACCAAAACTTACAACGATCCAACAGAAATGGGGGATATTCAGCGACATATTTGCAGCTAGTTATCTAGAACCAACAACTGTCATGTGACACCAATATGGTCTAGACTAAAAGAAACCACTCTTCGTTCGCAGTAACGCTGTCAGTTACCGCTGAATTTGCATGTCCCCACATGAACCCAGCTAATAAGACACCTAAGTGCTGCAGAAGGGCCGGCACAGATGGAATGTCAGCACGCTTATCTAAATATGGTGGCCCTTATGTTTTCTTACTGCTACAGAAGATGTTTTCTATCTTTGGAGTTTTAAACCTGCTCCGATATCTGGTAAACATCGCCTATCTTACCCAGGTCTGAACCTGACTGAATCTGACTCAAAAGTATTAGCCAGCAACAATGGACCATTAAATACTATGCCTGTAGTTTCTAGGATTATGGAGAAGGTTATTAGATAAGGCGACCTCCAGTATGTAATTAGTGGCAACATCGTCACATCTAGTCAATATGGGTTCCTAAAGTCAGGGTCCTGCATGGGTTGGCATCTTGACATAATAGTCATTTATTATCAAAATGATCAGACCTGTAAACTTGTTTGCATTCGTGTACCCCATGTTGTATGAAATATATATATATAATATCATTATTTAACGCCATAACTACCATGGATGAACAACACCAATTAGTCTCTGAACTGCATGTAGACATTTCAAAGGCATTTGACATAGTTGATTACTTACTAAGTTAGTGAAAGTTTATGGGAGCCAACCATATCCTGTTAGGGCGCATTGATGCCTTGCTCGGTGACCGCACCCAATTCGCGAAAGTAGACTCACTAAACCTACGCCATTCACATCTGGAGCAGTTCAAGATTGTGTAGTAGGCCCGATTCTCCTTACTTCATGCGTGAATGGCATTTGTGGTTGCTCTACACGCAGTAAACCATTCTTGTTTTCTGATGACCTAAAAGTTGTATACGCAATCTCTTATGACGATCTACCCCACTTCCAAGCATTAGTATAAAGGGAGCTTGACATGATGTGTACATGGCATGCGGCTCCGAAACATCAATTCAACATAGGTAAATGTAGCTGAATATGTTTTGGTGTTCAACTGATAGACATTCAACTACATCATCAGTCAGTGGAACAACCTACTCTTTAGAGGGCCTGTGACCCTAGGGCTAAGATACTCAGGTGACTTCCCATTTTTCGAACAGGTTGTGTCGCAGATTGGCAAATCTAGGATATCACTGGGTTGCATAGTCCTTAACCTTCACTCCTAATACATAAAGTAACTGCTCCATAGAACTCGCATGCGGCTGCTATTGATATACTTTCAGTTTGCATCCAGTGGTATCCACATTAAAGATAAATTAAAATGGGTGGTATCCAAAGGTATTCTCTCTCGAGGTTAGTAGGATATGATTTTATACAGAACCACAACTCTAGATGCAGGGCTGTAAACCTACAGCCGCTTTAGATGGGATTGCTTAAAATTAACCTGAGACTCTTCTTCAACGTGCTACAAAGTTTCACCTCTACAACCAGCGGTGAGTTTGGGTTCGAAAACAGCAGTTATTACGGCATGCACAACCACACCTACAACGTCGCAATTAGTCCATTCAAATCCCACTTGCATGCAAATTTCTTCGCCATAAGTTTCTCTCATAGTTAGAATAGACTTCTTGTTGAAGTGAAGACTCATGAATACACCCTCGAGTTTAGTCGGTTACTTACTAAATTCTTATCGTCTGACAGCTTATCCAGTTTACCGAGTTTGCTGTCACTATCCTTTGCGACACTCCCTATATCAAGTTCTCTTAACGTCCAAATAGGACCTCTTCTACATCTGCTTTAAACTTTCATCCGTAGCCCTAAGGACGCTTCTCATAATTAGGAACCACCCACCTGAAGGCATACAGCCACATCTTCCCATGGCGGTAAACACAGAATCAGGTCTGGAACTAGCAAAATCTAGGGAAATAAGTTCTGTCTTCTCTTCTACGTTTGGCGCTTTATCTTCCTTTATAAATTGTTGCGGGCAAACCCTTCATCTTCGGAAGCCACTTCCGTTGTAATTTAAACCAGGTTGTTTAAGGAGCGGACCTGTATTGAAACTACCCGTTTCTGGTCGTTTGTTGTCACTCTATTCACAACGGCAAAGTGCAATATACAGAAACGAATACTGTTCTCCGAACTACAACTTTATGGCTCACAACATTTGGGAATGATTACGAAGGCGGACAGGAACGTGTCATTCCTGCAAACCTCAAGGCTGCTATGGTCAAAAGTAAAATGGCGGGTACTAGCTTCCGGGTATCCACTTGGTGTATTCAAACGAACCTATATATTTTTATATTGGGTTTGAAAAAGCGGATATTTGACTTTCGCCGTATTATTCAGTAATACTATCAATCTGTGAAGACAACTGGTG